TAGTTTCCGATGTATGGACAGTTTCACACTCAATCACACATTTTTCTATCAAGACCTCTTTCTTTACAGGTTTTTTGCCATAATGGGAGATTAGGCATACTTGATGATCGCAGTCAGAAATTTACAAAATGCTACATACTCTTTCTTACTTCTGAGTGATTGTAGTTTTAAGACTGAGTCGGGCCCTTAGAACTGTGTGCTAACAAACATTTAAAATCTTCGCTACAAAAGAGATCGTTACAAGAAGTTTCAAAAAGACATAGCGTAGGTATGTTTAAAAGAAAACAGAAATAACTCATAAAGAAGGGTTCCTCAAAATTGAACCTTATAATTAAAACATAACTTTTTAAATTTTAATATCTTCTTGTTTGAGTTAAGCCTCTTTTCTATTAAGCATACGATAAGTATATCTAAACGTTACGTTTTCAAGTCCAACTTTATCAAGTTTTTGTAATTATATAATTTTGACGTGTAAATACGCTCTTTTTATGGCCTATTTGCAAAAATAAATTCATTGTTCTATTGTTAAAGTCTATTTTACAACGACAAAATTTAAACTTGCAATAATATATCATTGTACGTTAAAATAAGCGAGCACATTGTAATTACGATTGGTGTCGGCGATCGCCATATCATGATAAATTGATAAGAGGTCAATCAACGCAGAACGAGCACTATTGTACTAAAAAATACTGAAGAATTGACAATGAAACTACATATAAAGTTAATTACCAATTAGTATAAAATTTCACTATTTTTAACCAATTATTATGGCAGAAAGAAAGAATAGCTAAATTATATCTGATTGCATGATTCACAGCAGTTAACAGCTAATACAGCTACTGCATGGAGTGCATGACCAGTCAGCCGATCTAGGGCTATGCAACCAGTATGAACGCACCAGTATCACGGTGAGAGCAGAAATGTGAAACAAAAGACGATCAAGTTTTTATTTAAAAAAGCGCCATATATTATTTATCTTACCACCTAAAAATTGTATATTGGCACTAAGTCGCAGTGTAGTTCTTAAACGGAATAATTTAGAACATAGTTATCAGAGATCATTTTTCCGCCTACTTCACACGTCGAAGAAATATAATAAGTATCAAAAACTTTTACCCTTGTCTATATGGAAAACTACTATTGCTAATAGTGCAGTCTCACTGCCGTACTTAGAAAAACATTTAATGGTTACTTAAACCATTTCTTAGTGACGATTTTATTACGAAAACGGTTACTAAGGAATGTGTTGTTAAGTAACTATCGAATGTCTCTGAGTAAGCCAGTCATCACTGCTCAAAACAAAAGAATGTGAAACGGAACAAATTCATCAACTCACCATGATTAGGTCCATAGACGATGCCAACAACTAGAAGTGTCAATATTATTTTCTTCCTGAAGTTTGACTCTCTCTTCTTGACTGCCACTTCTGCTGTTTCTTTGATCAATGTCACCATGTCATTACAAGTTACTGGTTCCACCTGGAACAGATTATTTGTTTTAGTAACTTTTTTTTTTTGTGTAACTAAGTATTCGTAAAAATGTACAAACGCAAAGGAGTGCTTTTTAGGTTTTCTACGTCCAAGTCATACCAGAAAAAAGGTTTAGTTAGTAGTTGTGGAATAAAGATGGCAATAAGCAGCAAATGTTAAATTCAATACAATAGCGTTTAGATTTAGCACTGACCCCAACTTAGTTGAAGAGAAACTAAGAAAATTATAATATAGGATAAATTTGTAAAAAGTAGAGTTCCATTAATCTATACAATTATTATAAAGAGGTAAAATTTATAAGTTTGTATGTTTGTAAGTTTGTATGTAGGGGGTAATCTTTGGAACCACTGGTCGGATTGCCAAAATTCTTTCACCTATAGATAGCTACGATGTTCCTGAGTGCTATAGGCTATAATACAAAATACATAAAACATCACGCTTCGATCAAATGGACCCGACCAGCGGGTGAAACCGCGGGAGAGTAGCTAGTGTATAATATAGTAATCATGACTCGGCAGTACATACTTAGTAAAAAACCGTCCGTGAACATGAACATGTTTACCACAAAACAGTACGTGACACAATATTTACCTTTTCATCTTTATCAGCACGTGGTTTAGTGTTACTCTTCAAATAGAAGAATCCATACGAAAACGTCATCATGTATATCAATCCAGAAATTATAAATATTCCATAATATCCCAAAAGTTTCAACAAGATTCCACTTAACGCCGTGCCTATAGGTACGCCAGCGGTCATACATAGATTAACAAGCCCAACTCGGAAGGTTCTGGATTCTTCGTCGGTAATATCACTGATGTAACTGAAGACACCTAGATAGACCATGACCCAGCCGCCGGTAACAGCAGGGAATATAGCCTCGAAGAACATGGTCACTTCCACACCGATTTCGTTGAAAAAGAAAGTGCTGAGCAAGTTGCTGACACACACCATGAACTCTCCGAAGATCGGCATCAAGATACACACTTTTCTGTTCCCAGTCCTGTCGCTCCAAGCTCCCATGAAAATAACCAGCAGCGTCGGTATCGATGTCTGTATCACACTCTTCCATGATTCTATATTCGATATTATCTTCTGGATGTCACCTTCGTATTCAGTCAAGTTCCCTCGCTTGTCAATTAACGCATCACAGATACTTTCATTAAAGTTCAATTTCACTCGGCATGTCTTGTCTAAGTTTAAGTTCTGTATCGCCAATCTGGCTAACATAGAAGGTATGATGAGTCCTGCTAATATGGGCTCTACGGTGATGCTTGATTTTAGCCGACATAGTTTGCTTATAAAACTTTCGTTTTCATTAATATCTGCTATTATTTCTTTTTCTTTTAATGGCTGCGCCTCGACTTTTTCCTTTTTTCCAGGATCCGCCATACTGTGTTCACCGTACGATCTTATTTATCAAACTAACAGTAGACGCGTTGTTATTATAAAAGTTTATTCGTCCCGTATCGTCGCGATTACGTTGTGTTTGATCTGTGTAAGATGTGTATTAAATTGTTTTATCCTAAATGTGTTACAGTTTTTATTTTGTATTTATAAAGGTGGTGCTTTTTTTGTTAGCCGCGTAAAGGTAAATATGGAAATAATTTATATTTTTCCATTCATTGATAAAATTTCTATCTACTTCGTAATCTATCATTCATATATGCTTAACCTTATTATTTATTGGTACTCGACCAGGACCAGGACCCAGCGTACGGCGTGTAGTGTGACGTACCCTGTGCGCCTCAATGAGTCAGTATACCACCAAAGGGACCTAAGAGGGTCAATGTTCAGCCAGGGTTTTGGGGCAAGCGCAAGCCCCGCTTTAGATAGTCAGTAAAAGTCTGACACTCCCTGTTGCCTCATCCTGGGCAAGAGAAATTACTTAAAGATTTTTCCCTGTACAAATCACGCCCAAACTCGGAACAATAATTTGTAAATCACACAAAGAGCTCTAAGAGAATGAAATCAAACCTTCTATCAACTTTTCTATAAAATCTGATCTAAATTTCATTCATGCTCGTTCTTCTCCATTCGAAACTACAATTTGGAACGATCACCTAGCTTCACTGACGAACAGACTGACAGACTACTATTCTATTTTGACGTTTCAAAAGTACCTATTTATGGTTTAGTTGGAATAAATGATTTTGATTTGATTTGATTAATTTAGTAAAAAAACGAGGCAGTAAAAATAATTATAACTTATACATACAGCAAGTATAACGCACAATTTCTTTATTAAAAATAACTTTAGAAAAAATCTTCTTTTAACTTCATAACGAACTTGTAAAGAAAACTAGTAGCTAACTTTTCCCTTTTTATTATTTACGTTGAAAACAAACCACCCTGTAGAGACGGAGAGTTATCAAAGTTAAATAATTGTACATTAGTTAATGAATATTTGAGTTGATTATTTAGTCAGCCACTGCACCTTGATGTGGTCTGATAAATTATATAAATAATGTAATCAATTGTCTTCTATTTACATTAAGATTGTTACTTACGCAAGACGCTAGTTTCAAGCGTATATAGCTATTATTATCTTCATAATCATTAATAACTTAAATTGTGTGACTTTAGGTAACCATAATAAAATCTTTGTAAATAAACTCGTAATAAGGCTGTTTCGTTTTGTATTCCAGTGACTAGCAGTTTTTTTTTCTCCTTATTCACATACTTAGTATTTACTACTGCGGCAAATTACACAATATTTTCGAAAGTTGTTCAATAATTTCTCACTGTTTTATTTTGAATGGCTCAGACAAAAATGACTTCATTGCCTTCTCGAATAAAAACCAAAATTAATTGTTGTGCGACAATTGCATATACATAGTTACTTAATGACGATTAACATGCAGTGAACAGAACTGTTTACTATGTAAAAGGATATTACCACAATAATTTAAGTCTCAAGTGGTCCACTATATAACATAGGCTTCCGTAAATGGCCTCCAAATCAGCCAGTTTCATCCCTTAGTTCAATAAGAATATCTTCGCCACATACTATAAAAGAAAGTCGCTTTCTCTGTCTCTATATCCGACACGCTTAAATCTTTATCTTTAAGCAATGCAACGAATACAGATATTGATTGAAGAGGAAGGTTTAATTATATTAACATCCATTAAATATTGGTGAAACTTAGTATCAGCACTGCAGCTGTGCTTAGCCGGGGCGGGTCGCTAGTAATAAATAAAATAAAGTACCTAAAGTATTGATTAAAAGCTTTTTTTATGCAAATTCATTATGTTTCACATAAGATATCGTAATAAATACCATCATCATCATTATCATCGGTCAAAGGTCGGCAATGCACTCATAACTCCTCCGTCATTGTAGGTGTCTAGGTGTCTATGGGCGGCGCTGATTGCTTACCATCAGGTAATCCGTCTGCTCGTTTGTCGTCACAAATAGCTTTCCATCGCACTAGAATCACCGTCACCTGTTTAACAGATTTTCCAAAATCTGATAAAATAGTCCTCCTCCTCCTCGCGTTGGTTTTCTTAGTACTGAGGGTAGTGACCACTTCGTGGAAGCAGTATACTGCGAATTACTCCCCGCCATCTATTTCTATCTGCCGCCGAGTGAAGAGCATCGTGGACTGTAGTGTTGAGAGTGGTGCGAATCTGATCCGTCCAGCGTATCGGACTTCTGCCTCTAGGTCTCTTTCCTTCCACCTTACCAGTGATCAGTAACTTTTCCAAGTTATCATTGTCCCTTCTGTGTCCAAAAAACTCCAGAATCCTGCGGAGGCATATGGAAGAAAGCCTTGTCTGGATAAAATACTACTTTTCGTAAAAAAAATATTTTTCCATTTTGTTACTTTACCAACAATTGCATTTATAACAACAAAGCAGCATTAGTTCTTTTAATACCTTTTGACGTCTTCACAGGTAATTTTTTTCATTGCATTAAAGTTGATAAAAAAATTTGCCCGCAAATGAACTCTCAAGTCTCGCCTGAAATTCCGGGTTCTTTAACTGATAACTGATTACCTAAATATCTAGTACTTTTAATTTAGGTTCTCTGTTGTTGTAGAGTAAATATTTTTGACCTAAAGAAAATAAAAATATCAATTTTCGAAACCTCAATTTTTGGTTAGTTAATTATATCCGAAGGTACACAAAGAAAATAATTTATGTGACAATTTAAAATAATTTATCTTAGAAGTTGAGTCTTTAAAGCAATTGGGTTTTGCACTATTTGCCATAACCTTTTTTTTTTGAATCAAATCGAATGACTTCTCTCGCCCAGGACCAGGCGAGAGGGAGAGTCCGGCTCTTACTCACTTAAAAACCCCCCGTTCCTTCTCCTGCTCTAGGCCGAGGTCGCGGTGCCACATTGCGCTTACCCCGCAACCCTGGCATTTGCCATAACCTTGCCGTTGCAACCGTAAGCTGTGGTCGGTGGGCAACGGAAGCTCGGCGCCCGACCAAAACCAGACCACCCAATAGACCACCACGGATGGGGTGTTACAGCGCCGATATTATTGCTAGGCAAACGCAATAAGATACAGCGGCCTAAGCCTAGAGCAGGAGAAAGAACAGGGGCATGTTTGAGAGTCTGGCACTCCATTTCGCATCACCCCGGGCGAAAGAAGTCATTTAGTTATATACCCTTTATAAAAAATGCTCTTATTTAATCTGCATACATATAATATGCCTATTATATTTGGCCTATTATAATATGCCTATTACCTGATGAATATTGCCTAATTGGGTACCCTAGATTCAATAGAGCATATCTATCCTTATATAATATTATTATAAAGCTGGATAGTTTGTTTGAACGCGCTAATCTCCAGAAGTACTGGTTTGAATTGAATAATTCTTTTTGTGTTTGTTAGTACATTTATCGAGGATGGCTTAAGGCTATAAAATATCATGCTACGATTTCTAGGAGCCGAGTAGCGAGTGGAACCGCGCGACAGAAACTAGTGCTAGCTAGGTATATGCAACATCATCTTTTTACGCATAAACACTCATATCATGCACATCATCAGATTTCTAATGCAGTTACAGAAATAATTTTATCAAAACAAAAATTATGGCTTATCATTGTTTAGTCTCAAAAAACAAATACTGCCAAAAATTATATCTCTGTAAATCCTTGTTTGCTCACGACGTGTCAGTGTAGCTTATTTTTATTTTAGGAATCCTCACCAACAAAACCTGATGACGTTGAGATCTGATTCTGATAGCATAAATATTGCACCAGCTACGTATTTCCTTCGACGAGCAAGGGTAGTTCGCCGCCTGACCAGAACCAGACCCGGGTGTGCGGCGCGAAGCGTTCCCCGCCTCAAAGAGCCAATAGACCCCCACAGAAGAGGCCAACGGGTCAACGTAACGCGGCCTGGGCCTGTGCCCGAGCTCCGTGTAGGAGAAGGAACAGGGAGGTTTTATACTCTGTAAAAGTCTGTCATTCGATGGTTTTCACTCCACAAAAAGTATTTCCTGGCTGGGTTTGTGACTCACACGCTCATATACATACATACCGCGACCCGACTCAGGACAGGAAATGGAACGGGATAATTTTTGACAGTAAGTTTAACAGTAGTTTCCGACACTACCTCTCGTATCATCACAAAAAGTGTCACGTGTCATCAAAAATAGTTCACAGTAATAAGAACTAGTTGGTCAAGTGAAACAAAACAGCAAACAATAACTAAAGATATCGCTGAGAATATAAAAAATATGTTTGTTTGTCATCACAATATTTTACAGATGATCACTATTACAAAATAATTTAAGAAAGAAGAAGAAAGATCTTTCTTTCTTTTCTTTCGTGTGGGACGAGAGAAGGACAGGACAGCCGACACCACACACACGTCACACAAGAATTCGGAACAAATGGTCCATGGCAATAAAAAAGATTATTTATTTCGAATTTCTCTAGGAGATTTCCATCCAAGTTTACATAGCTTGTATACTTTTCAATGTTAATAAATCAAAGGAGTTGTTTTCTAACATTTTTATTGCGCTTATAAATACTTATCTTTCTACAGAACCAGTAAAGCAAATACCACACACAGCTACCCATTTACTTATCTCAGCTCTTTTTAAAAACAACCGCTAATGTCACATGCGACAACCTGGTTTAACGTTTAACAATAAATTATCTGCTACTTACAAGAGAAACCGGGTACTTTTCTTTTATTCCAACGTTTCAAATCCCAAACGAACACCGGCGTTCGCGCACCTGTTTTTCTTCTATTGTGTTGTTAATGACCACGATTGAAAGGTTAATAACCAGCGGCCCGCCGCTATGGTTTCTTTTTATATATGTAGTAGGTCGGCAAACGAGCAGACGGATTACCTCATGGTAATCAATCAGCGCCGCCCATGGACACCCGCAACAGACGAGTTACGAGTGCGTTGGCGACCTTTTAGGGATTAGGAAAGGGGAAAAAATGTTCCTGCGGTAACTTCACTCACACGGCGAAACACAACGCTGTGGTTGTTTCACTCCGGTTTTCTGTGAGGCCGAAGCATGGCTCGCCCACACACAATTTTCCACTCAAAATTGTCAAAGTCAACGTCAAAATAATTTATTTCAATTATATCTTTACACACAGTTTTGAACGTCAAACAAAGATTAAAGAACGAAAAAATGACAGTATGTCGGACAGTCCTCTTAGTGAAGCTATTTGCTCTTTCTAAAGTGTAGCTTCTGATGAAGAAGAACGAGCAAGAAACTTCATGGTTAGTCTTTTTTTATTAGATTCACAAACAGATTCTTTGTTATATTATTAAGTTGAATCCATTATGTAGGAACAGTGTAACACTTGTACCCTGTTTACAACGGCATTTAAAATATATTTGATTTGCTACAGAAGTTTAAAAATACATAACTACAACAAAATTATCTACAACTTATAAATAAATAACTATTTCCTAATAAATTATTCGACTACAATTAATTCGTGATCTAGATCCAAACTGTTGATGAGAGAATCCTTTTTTCTCTTGGACTGTAACTCTGTGGCAACACCATCGCAATTTTTTTCTAGTCTGGCAACGTCTTTTCGGTTTTGTACGAAAAACCAGCTGCAAAAATAAAAATAATATATTATTATCTACATAACATAATATCAGGTTACTTTTTATTAATTACAATACATAGTATTGTGATATCTAGTAAGAAAAATCCAATAATTCTTCAATGTCCCACTCATCGTACTGATTTTCTCCACTCCTCCTTTTTCGTTCAGTCTGTCTTGCTGTGGAATGCGCTCCCCCCTGATATCAGGATGGTGTCTAGTCGTTTGACTTTCAAACAAAAGGTTCGTGAGCTCTTGCTAAAAGGTTTGGCTGAATCGTGACCACCATATATATAGTATATTATAATAAGTATAAGTATATATTATATATGTATATGTTATTTATAAATATATTATGTAACTTGTATGTAAATATTTGCACATATATATGTATCTATCTCGTCTTCACTCATTTAAATTTAAGTATGTTTGCTTGCTTCTTGCACCGACCATTTGCTCATCTCTGCATCACCCAAGGCTCGACTGGTAGAAAATGCCTAAGGCATTAAGTCCGCCTATGTACCCATTGTGCATGAAGTTTTAATAAATAAATAAAATAAATAATCCTTTCAACCTGGGATTTGACCCCAGAATTTTAATATGTTTAACAAATACCTAGTTATCTCGAGGTTGACGGTGCAATAACAGTAATTCGTGATATATAAAAAGGACTATAATTCGGTTCTACTTACAAAGAAAAATGTTTAATTACAGCATAATATATCAGTCTCCAGTATCATCATCGAAAGATAACGCGCCTTAAAGAGCCGTCATACCACCACAGACAGGGCACACTCAGATTGATGACCGAAACCGATTGCTAACTTTAATTACTTACTTTATGTACTAGTTAGATACTTATTATGATTTGACCATTTAAAACGTCTACGTACAGAATATTAGTAAAACAATTACTTTTACCCTGATCAAGTGGGTATCAAATTTTCTACTATTAAAAGAGTTTTGAAAAGCCGTTATGTATTTAGGAATTGGTAAAAACTACTTAGGTACTAAGCTAGAAGACCTCCTGTTTTAAAATGCTTGCTAAATTATGTGTTTGTTTCCATCAAACCTAATCTAAAGTAAATAAATACCTAAACCAGACAAGTTGAGATGCTATTATTAAAAATATATTCTTATTCATCTTTTTCCTTTAAAATACTTAGTCACCTAGACCAGAACCCACTAGTTCACTAACGCTCCTACCATTTATACTTGAGCACAATATATTCTGTTAACAAATTGCTCTTGACGTCAGTCAGGCGTATTTAAAATATAGAAAAACTATAAACATTAATTGTAAAAGTTTTAAGCTAAAAAATAATTTATTTTTGTAATTGTATTAGGTTAAGTTTATACAAAGAACAATACGGCTAATCTCATCTATTTAAATTAATTCTACTTTAATCTTTTGACAGAATAGTTTTACGCGTAATTACTAATGAAAAATAAATTGTATTGTTCATAGATTGTAATTTAATTCTATTTTGCTAAGTAATAATTATATTTGTGTCTGTTTTTTTATCATCGGCGTTACGCACGAATAGACAAAGACTAGGTTAACGTACGAACATTTCTGTCGATGTGTGGGTGCTGTTTTGACCTGTAAAAATAGCCCTAATAAAACAAATCCCAATTTTTACTCTAAAATTGAAGGTAGTGGTGGCCCGGAGATTTAGGCGGCCATATCTCATGCATAAGGGTTTGAAGCCTGGTAAGTACCAATATGACTTTTCCGAGCTATATGTGCGTTCTGAACCTGGACTTATAATTTCTAATTATAAGTTTGAAATCGCCAATTCTCTAAGTGTCTCTCTAAGTCTCTAAGTGGGAAGAGGCCTTTGCTCAGCAGTGGGTACTGTAGAGGGTGGGTGGGTAGGCTGATGATGTGATATGACACTAAAATTGTAGCAACTACAACTCAATGTATATCAACACTGGAGATTTCTACCCATACTGAATACCTCAAAATTGGAGATCTCAGACGTTCCAATCCTAACAGACACTTAATTCAGCTTATCTGGCATGCAGGCCTAAAAATCTAACTTAAAAAATCTAAATAATTTTGTGTGTTTGCTTGCTTCTTGCACCAACCATTGGCTAATCTCTGCATCACCCAAGGCTCGACTGGTAGTAAATGCCTAGGACATTAAGTCCGCCTATGTACCTTTTGTGCATGAAGTTTTAATAAATGAATACTCACACAAAAAATAGTAGCGGGGGAATTGTGAGGGCCGTACTGAAATAGTACACGATCCCCGCATCAGTTTCCAAGGTACACATATAGATCCAGGAGTACA